GAAGTATTCAGCAGTACTTATTAATTTAAGTATTTTACCTGGTGTACATGGCTGATGTTTTCAATGGTATTTAATGGTATCTGCACAATCAGAGCTCTTACACTGAAGAGCCTTATTCACTAGAGTTCCAATGTAACAAGCCATTTTCAAATATTTTTGGCCCAAAATCTTTAAATGGCACCATTTGAGCCAACCGCGAGATAAAAGTCCATTTCTATGAGATGGACATTCCTGCAGTAAAGTGCTTATACGGAACCTCTGTAGTATTGAGGTGCTTATGTGCCTACCTCCAATGAGCCATTAATTAAGCTTAAAGTGAAGCATGATTCGAATGGCTTTGGTGAATTGGGTACAAATTCATCAATTTTGCAAACAAAAGATGTCTAACCATTTCTAGAGATAAGTAACCTGAGTCAGAGAAGACATATAGGGCTGGCAGTTAAAGAAAAATCAAGCATACATTCTGCAAGGGAATATTTTCACAAAACTTTTCCTATGAATATTGTTCTGGTGAAAGCAGCTTTCCCTCATGCTATGCAGCATTATTTGGTCTTCTGAAAACACTGTAGTTAATTTGTGTACACTCTCCATTTGGAGATCCATAACTAATGGGAACCCGTCCCAACAACCAGGGAAAAGATTTGTTTTTTCTTAGCCTTTAAATGAAATATCAATAGATGGATATTTTATTTTTAGTTGAATATGAAATTTCACAAGTGACCTGTCAAGTTCCCATTTTCAAGAATGACTTTATTTCACAAGTCAAGACAGGTTGGGAAATTAGTTTTTCCCACAGAGGACTCTGATTAGGGATTACAAAGTGAGTGTGGTGCAGGGTGATTTTTCCTCCATCTTTTTCCTCACCCTGCCAGCCTAGAGAACATCTGACTGCTGACTAAGGGGAGCAATTCATTACCGCACACGGGAGGGGGACCAGAAGTAAGATAGTTGTATTAAGTAGAGTTGCTGGCCCAGGAGAAAATTGGGAAAGCATAATAATACTTAGCCCTTATATTATTCTTTTCATCAGTAGATATCAAAGCACTTGAAAAAGGAGGTTGATTTGATGGGAAGGGAGATAAATGATAAATCCAAGTAGGCTATTGCAGAGGTACCAGCAGGAATGCTCACTTTCATAAAAGGCTCCTTTGACTGTGGTTCTGCAAGGCAGAGAAATAAACAGGTCTTTTCCTCAGTAAAATGCAGATTAACACGTCTCTCAAAGTATATTTCAAGCAATGTTGACTTACCTACTGTAACTCTCGTGGGTGTTGTGGAAATGTAGTGTCCAATACAACAACTGGAGTGCAAGAGGGAAGCTTATGTATTACTGATAAATGACCAGGCAGACAAGACCTATTGCCTTTGTCAGCGGACAACAGCTGATTTACGCAATGGTTTAACTGCTCGTGGGAGCAATAAGTGGTCCACACAAAGGGCTTTGCAGTTTCTACCCCACTGAAAATTGGGCCCATTCTGTGACATTTCTGTTATCCAGTAGATTATGGGGAGTCACTGGAATTGAAAGCAGTCTTCCAGCTCTTTTAGAAGAAAAGCATTGTTTGTCTCCTCTGCTAGAAGTCCTGCACTGCTTGGCCTGATAGAGTTCACTGCCAGACTTCCTTCAGGCCATGTGAAAGGGCTGCATATGACGAATCAAATACAGAAAACATCAATCCTGAAGTCAGTCTTCATATTCAAGAGCAGAGCAGCATCTCTACTGGCTGCATGTCTTTAACTGTATATGTGTGCATCTCATTGCAGCAGAAAAGCTCCCTTTTCTACTCTTTGTAACATGTGCTACAAAGCTTGCTTGTTTCTGTTTGCCAATGGCCTTTCCGCCCTGTGTTTATGATAGTGGTGTTCAAAGAGGCCCGAAGCCCTGCTCTGACAGGCAACCCAGAAAAACATCTCATAAGAGGCAGTCTTAGATCCTACTGGGTCAAACGGCTGCTGTGCAGTCACTACAACTCACATCAGGAGCGAAGAACACTCCAGGGACAAGAACTTCATATGGAGGTTACCGATATTTTCATGATGCCATCTACAATAATAGCTTGGTTTTCAAAAATGTGAGAGATCAGCAATTTCCTGAGGTACAACTCCAGACATAAGACTTCCAGAGCAAATAGAGATAGAAAGAAAAAGGAAGGAAAAAAAACCACACCAACTTATTCATATTTGTCCATCCCGCTAACTAGAAAAGGTCACATTTTCAAAACCCATTTGCAGAGGTAAATACTTGTTCGCCTTACTCAGTCTGAAAATCCTCCGTGTTGTGCTAACCATGCTGCGGCTCTGCTGTACAGCAGCAGCTTTGAACAGCCCAATCTGCTGTGGACCATTGCCTCCCTCCAATACAGCTACAAATAGGTTTAAATCATTAGATTCAGGTTACCAAACAGTCTCTTGGATCACAGTTAATTAAATGAGTGTTGAAATCTAATTAAGGACTGGTCCAGGTGATAATTAGGAGGAAATGTATGCATTAAAATATTCATTTGTCGATGAGCTGCAATTAAGAGTGTGATTTGGGGAAGGATCAATAACTACATCATGTGATGTAAAAAAAAATGAAAAGTTGCCCAGCCTTGAGCAGAAATGCAGGAAAATCTTGGCTAGTTTTCTTTTTCTTCTCCCTTCATAGAATCATAGAATCACAAGGTTCGAAACGACCTATAAGATCATCCAGTCCAACCGTCTCCTCATCACCATTGCCACCACTAGCACTAAACCATATCATGCAGCACGTCATCCAGACGCCTCTTGAACACTGCCAGGGACGGCGACTCCACTACCTCCCTGGGCAGCCATTCCATTGCCTGACCACTCTCTGAGAGAAGAAGTTCTTCCTTATGTCCAACCTAAACCTCCTCTGATACAACTTGCGGCCATTGCCCTGTGTCCTGCTCGTTGCCTGGGAGAAAAGGCCAAATCCCTCTTCACCACAACCTTCCTTCAGGAAGTTGTACAGTGCACTGAGGTCTCCCCTGAGTCTCCTCTTGTCCAGACTGAACAATCCCAGCTCCCTCAGCCGCTCCTCATAAGACTTGTGCTCCAGACCCCTCACCAGTTTTGTTGCCCTTCTCTGGACATGCTCCAGGACCTCAACATCTTTCCTGTAGTGAGGAGCCCAAAACTGAACACAGTACTTGAGGTGCGGCCTCACCAGTGCTGAGTAGAGGGGGATGATCACCTCCCTGCTTCTGCTGGCCACACTGTTTTTAATGCAGGCCAGGATGCTGTTGGCCCTCTTGGCCACTTGAGCACACCTTCACCCTTGTGTTCTGTTTTGCTCTTATAATAATTATATTAAATTATAATCTTATAACTTATGAAGACTGCCCTCCACCCTTGAATAGAGCATTCATCTCTCCTTACCTTTGTTTTCCTGAAGCACTTATTTCAACCCCTTGTTCTTCACCACATTGTTCAAGTGGGTTATAGATTTATTAGAGAAAGAGTAACAGGTCAAAAAGATTCTTTGCCAAAGAAAATCACTTCTTCCTGGAGCAGGCTGCTAATCTAGAGGAACATCACTCATTGCATGGCCTTAGATTATTTTCTATTTCAGCAAGTTTATTCCTCAAATTGTTATTCATAACTGAGAATCTGGAGAGACTGTTGAATATGCAAAACTTGGACATACATATATGTACGTCTGTAGCTGCAGTTTACTAAGCTGGTTTGATATGGACCAGCTCTGCTTTCCCTGAGACTGTTTTTTCCAGTTGCAGGTAAATAGATGTGTTATGTAAGAAAGTTAAGTACACTCTCTCTATGCAGTCCCACCCAATCTCACTCCACTGGAAAAAAAATGGCATTATGCTCTAGACCAGTTCCTCTGGCACAGAACTGGTGTTTCCCCACTGCCATAGCCAGAGGCTGAGCTGGCCATCTCCCTGCTGACTTTATTTCCATCAGAGAATACCAGCATGTCAAAAGGGAAGTGTACCATGGGAGCATAATGATTTCAGCTTCTCTTTTGTCAGTCTTCTGACAGCTCACCTGCCCATCTCCCCAGGCCCGGTGGCAGCCCAGTTCCTGAGGCAACTGTCTGCCTGCTGTCAGGGCTGCTGCCAAATCCCCCTTCCCCACATCTGTCTTCCCCCAGGGGGACCACAGAGTAGGGAATCAAGCAACCCATGAAGTGAGGAAGTCCTTGAATCCAGCCAAAACAATATCAGTGCCTGCCTTCCTAAGCAGATCTATTTCTTCCCATCTCTACCTTCTACCAGAAATTTGAGAATTGCAGTTACTGATCTTTTATCTCATTTTGAGAAGGTGAGGGATTTTGTTCATTCCCAAAAGCTCTTCATTTTTCACAGACTTCTGCAGCCAGCTCCGATGATCATCAGCAGCTCTGTACTAGCATTGCCTACAGACAGAACCCAAATATTGTGAACTGGCCTGGATTTAACAGTGCTGAATAGATGCTGCTTGTTGATGGGACTTGTGCGCTATCCAGCAAACTGATTCTTGCCTCTAAGAACAGGGCTTTCTCACTGAACGTGGAGGTTGCAACACAGCACAATGTAAAAGGATGATCTGGCTCAGGGGTCCAGAACACACAGGGCAAACAAAGTCCATCAAAGTAAGTCAGTTCAAAATCCCACAATATACATCCATCAAAGGTTTCTACGTTTTCCTGCACTGAGTCCGTATCCCCATCCTCTGATGAGAGCTAACAGACCAGAAGATTTTCTAAAGGTTGAAAAAATAAGGCAACAGCTTTTGCAGAGAGAATATTTATAACAGCCTGGAAGTGTGAACTTTGGAGGACACTAGGAACAGTCCTCCAGAGTCCTTTCCTTCCTATACTCTCAGTCTGTTGCAAAAGCTCCAAACCAGAAGGCCAGAGAGGTTGTGTGGGAAAAATGCCAGCATCAGCAGGATCCTACACTATCAAATCTGTGTGTGACATATGGATTGCATGAGCCAGTGTATATCTATCTCCTGGCTAATCCTTTTCTATATCTCTTTTGTTTTCTGTCCTGCAGGGAGCCTCTTCAAGCCTGGTGGTGAAGTTTGCAGATACAGACAAGGAGCGTACAATGAGGCGCATGCAGCAAATGGCGGGACAAATGGGCATGTTCAACCCCATGGCCATCCAGTTTGGAGCATATGGCGCCTATGCACAGGCAGTAAGTATAGACATTGGCTCCATGCACGTTTACATGAAGAGGAAGAGCACCTAGACTGAACAAAAACACAAGTGAGAAGAGAGATAACTGATGAGCAGAAGAGGAACCAGTAACCAGGCCCATGCAAGACACTTCTTGTGGGATCTAAGCCATTGCTGTCAAATGCAAACACAACTAGCCTTTGAATATTTGGATAAAATAGGCCCTGAATTTAGCTCATGTGAGTTCTCTGATCCATGTCAGTACCATCCAGCCCCAGAGAAGGTTTCAAAGAGCATAAATAGTTCTCCCCTGATACCAGCCACACAGATTGAGTTGAACTCAAAGTTACTTGAAGGTAACTTTGGCGTGATCATGGGATAACATGGCAGCTCTTGATAGAAGTTCTTTTAGGTTCAAGGAAGCAAGCTGTACAATATGGAAATGGATAAGCAGATAAAAGCACGCATACAGTGCTGATTCCTCATAACAATATGATTTAAGCACACTGGGAAAACACTTCAGCTATTCAGTATGTATTGTTATATCAGGCATCCATTCCTAAGCTGTCCCCTGGACTTCTGGGACAACCCATGACTGAACAAGGAGCTGGATTCCTGGCATAACCACGGATTTTGATGCCTTTAGCATAAATGGCTTTACTTAGGCTATAATTAACAAGGATCCACAAGACAAGCAACTTGGTAACTTGGTCCCTTTGTCACATACTTTAGAAGAAAGTAGAGTGATCCCTACAGCAGGCAGATATAATACTATCAGGTGACTTTGGATATCTTTTCTGGCACAGATTATACATTTGCAGGCAGCAAAAAGTATACCTAGACGTTTCATCCATCTGGTGATAAAATATGACCCTCTTGTGCTCCGTACTGGATATGTGAGCAAGAAACCTATTTTGTAAAATAGTATCTTCCTTAATCAGTGAGACTTGCCTTAGGTAATGCAGGTCTAACTCCAGAATCTCCCCAACGTACCAGTAGTTCCTCTACCACATTGATCACAATGCCGTACTGTGTTGTCTGTATATTTAATTGTCATATACTGGCATCACGGACTTCCCATCCCATCCACTGGTTCTTTTTATAGAAAATAGACAGCCTACAAATATCCACTATTTCCTGTGTGCCATGTGCTTTGCTGAGCACTTGGTACAACCCAGCTCTTCCCTCATGCACAGTCGTGAGGACATACTGTAGGAGCTTCACAGATGCTCCCACTCTCCTGGTACTATTCTGGGCTTTTTTTATTCTCTCATTAAGCAATTTCATTTTTTCCTTCTATTTTTCCTTGTTCTTTTTGTTATTCTCAAAGACAATGGAGGCCTCAGCTGCCTCTTCCCTGGTCTCCTGCTCTCCTCCTCACAGACTGAAGAGCTGCCCCCTCCCTAGCCCAGCTGTGTTTAACTGTCCTCCTATCTGGACAAGGTTGCAGGATGGGAAAAAGACAGTAAATCCCACATGAGCCCTGGCCAGTGGCCAGCAGCCTGCCAGGTGGGTGCAGCATTTGTTCCCCCATGTATTAAGGGAATAAACAGGAAGGGAGCCCTCGGGCAGCTGAGGACGCACATCTGCAGAGGCTGTCAGGCAGAAGATGTGACTGCAGAATTACACTACAGGCATTGATCAGGCAGCTGGAAAGGTAATAAGGACACTGCTGTCCTCATACTCTGGACATCTCTTCTTAACTGCGCTCTTCTTAGCTACATTCATTTTTAATCTAGAGTAATTCTTATAATTGCTATTATAAAAGAGTCAGCCCAGAGTTATAGAGATACAAAAGAGGATGAGGTCTGCACCTTTATACCACAAAAGTTCTTCCATCTATTTCTCACTAGACAATACCATTTTGAGGATAGGTACTTGAGTGAGGTTTTATCTCTGAAGAAAAACTGAGAACAATTCCTGGGTCGGCTCCTGCTTCCCTTGAAACCAATGAATATTTTTCCTATTGAGTTCTGTGAAAACAGTATTGGACCCATATTCTTTTTCTTTTTCTTTCTTTCTTTTTTTTTTTTTTTTTTCTTCCTGCTGGTAAGTATGTAAATAAGGGGGAAAGAATAAATTTTAGATCTTGGACCATAGGATATGACAAGCTGGTGATACCAATTACCCAGGAGACTTCAGAGCTTTCTAAATGATGGGATCACATTTCTTTGTGGTGCCTGTACACCCAGAGCGTGCTCAGATGCTGTCTCTCAATCAGCATCCCTATCTATGTCTCTTCCTATCTGCTTCATCTCAGAGTCTCACACAAAAGGAAAGGAAAGAGAGCTGAAGCTGTGTGACGTTCCCTCGGTCCTGATTAATCCACCTTGGACTGCTGGCTCTTAGATATCAGGGTGATTGGCACCTCGTAAATGCCAGCAGGAGATGGAAAGATCGATAGTGAGAGAGTGACTGGGAGAGGGGGAGAGGACGAGGGCAGTTTTATTCAGCCCAAACTGAAGTTTAAGAGCAAAGGCAAGTCAAGAAAAGGAGAAATGAAAACACAAGCGCAGGACAGTGGTGACAGCTGATGCCATTGCCACCAGCAACTTGTGTGACCTTGGGTGAGTCATTTGATTTCCTAGACTTATGTCCCCATCTACAAGTGAAGATGATGACCGGATTTGTTTATTTTCCAGTCTCCCTCAGGGACATGGCTCTCTCTCATGCCATTCTTCCATGGGTTTTCACACACAGACCTGATGATAGTGCAAGTGTAAGAACTGCCTCAATGCTTCGCATTGCAGCCAGGACTACCATTAAACATAGGCTTTCTGAACTGTACTCTTGCTATGTCCTCCCAGATATCCCACTGCAATCCAGCAGTGACTGACATCACCATAAAAGAGCTCCCAAGCAGTCCTACTGCTGGTTAACAAGCTGTTTCTAATGGCCATTCCCATGGAGGAGGTTGCATTGTCCCAGGGCAGTGGGCTTCTCCCCAGAGAGGCATCCTCTGCCCACCCATATCACTGGGGCTGAATTAGCTCATACAAAAGATTTCTATGTGTCAGTGTGACTAGTGCAGCAGAAACCCTCACGGTGCAGTTGTCTGAGATATTACCAGGCAGCGCTGGATTTACAAATTAAGCAGCATCTCTGGGGAGAAGTGGCAGGGGTCTCAGTCCATTAGTATTTGACTGACAGTTGTTAGTGTGCTACCAAGACTGCTCTGGGCCCAAGCTCCTCTTTAAGTTCCTTCTTTTGCAGCTCAGCAAATGGCCTTGTCATGGTTCACTCCCCACTGCTGCTCTTTGCCAAGCCTCAACTTAAGCAACCTTAAGCAGCCTACAGGCTGCCCAGGGAGGTGGTGGAGTCTCCTTCTCTGGAGATGTTCAAGACCTGCCTGGATGCCTACCTGTGCGACCTACTGTAGGGAACCTGCTTTGGCAGGGGGGTTGGACTCGATGATCTCTGGAGGTCCCTTCCAACCCCTACAATTCTGTGATTCTGTGTGATTCTGTGATTCTGTGAACCTTAACCTTGATAGCAGCGATAGCCTTGTGTTGGCCACGCCACTAGTCCTCACATTCAGTAGCCATATGGCCTCAGCTTCAGTGGCAACAAAACCAGGAAGCAAAGGGGATTCTCCTCTTCTCCTCTATGTGTGTGTTTTGTCTCCCCATCATGTGCTCCCTGAAAAAAAAAAAAAAAAAAAAAAAAAAAAAAAAAAAAAAAGCAACCAACAGGACAAAGCTTGGCACAAACTCCGTGAGCTGTTTCAGTAATGCAGGGAGTCACATCAGACCCACCTCACCTCTTCTGTATGCAGCTCAGAGCAAGTCAGCTTTCATGGCTATCCAAAGCTCCCAGAGCCCCTTTACTAATTTGTTTCAGTTTGTTTGGGTTGTTTTTTATCCCCCAGCAATATCTTCCCATATTCATCTAGCTTCTCTTTTTTTTATGAGGCAATTAATTATTTCAGCTCACTCTTGTTTAGAGCACCAGCCCTTTTTATGTCGTGTTACCGTGGATCCACATCAGCTGGATGTAGGTAACTTTCTGCAGTCTCCCTGAAGCCAGCTTGAGGTACAGCCTGAACTCAGCCTGGGGATGAGGCTGATGCTGAATAGCACCAGCTTTGCTCTGCTGCCAGATGAGGCACATATTCCATCCGGTACAAAGCATCTTCTTAGACCCCATAGGGTGGCCAAGCCTGAAATCACAAGCAGTTAAAGTAAAAGCAGACTGTGAATTATAGTAGTACAGTCCAAGCCCAAATATGCACCACTGGCAAAAGTTCCTCCAACTCTTCTTTCTGTGAAGGAAGTAGCAAGTACTTAGCAGCTGTCTGTTGACCCACCGCAAACAAAAGGAAACATGCAGAGACCAAAAAGGGTCAGGGAGATGGGAAAAAGCGGAAGAGAACACTAAGAACAAAGGAAGGAGCCTTGGAAAGTGACAGATAATGTATGAATTATTTAATTTTTAAATTATTTAAAGTAAGATCAAAGTCATAAATCAAGTTTACATAAAAAATAGGGTGGGAGTGTTAGCCACAGTCTCCTGGCCAAATTCCAGCTGTGGGACTGATTGCTTCCTGCAGCAGGGGACAGGCAGAGATTTAGTGAGAGGAAATGGACAGACTGGGTACAGGGGCAGCACAGACAATAGTAACATTTGCTCTTTGGCTTGGAACAAATCCTTTCCCTTCAGTAAATCCCAGCTCCCCTCACTCTGAAAAAGTGCAAATGGCTGCAGCTCCTGAACTGCAGACAGTAACTGCAAGGAAACTGTGAACATCCAGCATTGCATAGATCACAGTCATCATCAGAAGTGCTTACCTCAGTCATCCTGTGATGCTGTCCATTAAAGCCCACCAGCCCACTTTTGCCTCCCTGCCCAGCTCCCACAGAAATGAAAGGACATTCTCATGAATGACCTGAAGAGGTGCTGCAGGGAAGAATCATTTTTTGAACATTTTTTCAATGCATACTGTAAAATTAATTTGTAAAGATATTTAAAAGAAATCATCTAGCCCTTAAAAAACACGGAAAAATTACTTTACATAGATAG